GTGTCATTGACAATGACTTGTTTTTTATGTTTTATGTGCGTGCTTAGCGTGCATAACAAACCTGATACATTTTGTACACAATTAAACAATTTCTCTCGTTGGGTGGTACACATAGCGGCGTTGTCTCTTGAAATTACTGCTTGTTTTTCGTTGCATTTGAATTACCAAAATTACACTCCTATAGTTCGACCAGCCAAACCATACCCCTAATAATTCGACCACCCAAAACATATTTTCTGTTTTTCTTCTATCAAATCCGCCACCCTCAAAAATAATTATTTTTTCCTGGTCTAATTGTTAGAAGGATTACGGTAATGAACATATATGTGCAGAATGTTATTTTGTGCTTGTTTATAAGCTAAAATGTTTAAACTGAAATTTGTGGTTTGGTTAATGATTATTGCAGACGGGTAATAATAAATAAAATGTTTTTATTTTTCAGGTGGACTCCCATTACTGCCCAAATTGCTTGGAAAATATGCCTGCAGCTGAGGCTAAGCTGAAAAAGAACAGGTAAGTTTATTATCATTGTGAACATTTTGGTATTGTATGTAGATAGTCTTAGAGAGATTCTCATTTCTATGATTTTTTTTGTTAGGTGTGGTAACTGTTTCGACTGCCCAAGCTGTAGACATACTCTATCCACCAGAGCTACAAGTATTGCGATTCCAAATCCAAATGATCCAGCAAGGCCAACAACCAAAAAAGCCTATTATTTGGCTTGTGGTTTTTGTCGATGGACATCAAGGGACATTGGTATGCCTGATAAACATGTTGGTAAGTAACTGAAAAGATAAAAAAACTATCAAATAATTTTACAATTAAGTTGCCTTATTTTACTGGTTTTCATTTTAAAGAGAAGATAGTGTTTAAATTTATCATATTACAAAACAATTTTGCGAATAGCCGACTTCATAGTTGGCATAACTACTAACTAGTCAGCCTTCAACACAGTATCACAATTTACAGTCAATTAGCAAGATGGCACTTAGATTTTTGTCCAATCTAGACTTGACGGTGCAGTTTCATTAACACATGCACAGTTCAGATCATTCCAATGTCATACTAGATATGTGCTCATTAGAATACACAGGTCAGGGATTTTTTTAAACAAGGGAACAGTGGCGCAGCACCCTCATGCCATGGCCATGCACCCCCTTACCCTGGGGAGCAGACCCAGCGGCAACCATAAAATTCTGATTGACCAGAGATCACATGTGGCCACAGTCTTCAACTGTGACCTGTCTAATAGTGATTTTTGCCCCAAGATAGCCATAGAATGCTCCATTTAAACTTAAAATTATCAAAAACTCCACACCCTGGTAGGGAGAACCCTATCTCCCCCCACTTGGTGGCGCCGCTGAATTGCAATGCTCCCTCTTGCAGTTTTTTTCCAGATAAACCACTGCAGGTTATTTTGAAGTGTTTTAATATTTCTTGAATCACATACAATGTAGATACTCATGAAATGAAGGGTATTTATTGAATAGGTACACCAGATTAGTAAATCACTATGTTGACAATGCCCTAGACTGGCCCAGCTGTGGTGATTTTTTTTTTCAGTTAAAAAAATTGGAAAAATAGTTTTGCGAATCTGTTGCTATTATTTATTCATGATATGCAGTGACATCACTGAACGGATACAG